AGTACCTCCTTCCTTTTATATTTTTTTCATAAGTCCCTCCAGTCCGTTTGCTTGTTTAACAGCATTGTCCTAATTTTCAGGCACGAAGCATCTTTTAATGCCATCTGGTAAAGAAATAAAGCGAGTGAATTCTCGATTGGGCCTTAACAGTAGGACAAGTGACTACTTTTTTTTACTTTACTTTATTTTTTTTTTATTTTGAACTTTATTTAAAGAGGGTAAACATGTTAAGCGTAAGCCTTCTGTTACCATGCAGTCAGTCAACAGTACTGGATTTGTTCCCAGCTACTTCAACATTTATATGCTGAGTGCTAAGCAAGGAGACAGTAGGTACCATTTTTATAATGGTCTTTGGTATGACCAGGCTGGGGTCATACAACCTACTGTACCTGAGGCGGGCACTCTACCATTTGGGCCATCCGGTTTAAATGGGCCAGGTGTAACAAAATACCTTATTGTTCTCATTCATAATTTTTTGCCTTTGTCCGTCCACCTTGTTTGCTTGTTTTAGAGCATCTTAATGCTTCTCAGACATGTAGTAGGCCCGTCTTTTAATAGCATCTGGTAAAGAAATAAAGAGAGTGAATACTTTAGTGTAATATCATACAAACATTTTTCATAAATGAAAATATGAATGCTGAAATATCTTGATGCAATGATGAAGATATTCATGATAACTGCTCGATCACGTGACTGAACCGTGTCAGGGTCCATACAACAATATAAAAACAAATTCAAGGACTTCTGAAGCTCTAATTCATGAACTTTTCAATGACTTTTAGAATGCGACTTCCTGACATTTATGAGTTTACATACAAAAAAGGTGTATTATTTCATACAAGCTTCGTATTTTAATACACTGATGATGAAATATGAAATGAATAAAATGAAAAAAATTAAAAAGGCAGCAAAACTGCCATATGTACAGACAAAAAGCAGAAAATAATAATGCACAAAATAGGCTACTGACAATTATGATACAATGAAACTGGCACATTATGTTTAACTGCAAAGTCAAAACCAAATTTTAATTATGAACAACAGGTTATAGGCCTACCGATGTATGTAAAATGTACAACAAGCATAAGGCTTCAGTCCTAAGAGAGATCAAGTCCACACTTTAAAAATGCCAGAATGAGAAAAATGAAAAATTAACAAAAAAAGAATTGCATAAATTTAAAAAATGATATTCCAATAGTTTTTTTTTCTAATTTAAGCTGTATGTCAATCATAATTATCATTCTTGTAAGTTAAAGTTTTTTGAACATTTGTGGTGGCAGAGCACAAAGTAGGTTTTTGTCAATATTTATGCAATATTATATAATGACTAACTGTATAATTACTACCAATTTTTGATTATCTACTAAAAAAAGTGGACATTTAGAAAAGTTCATTACCATTCAGCTTCATGCCCGTGGGGGTTCGAAATCCCACAGTAAAAATGCCAATATGTGAAAAATGAAAATTTCACAAAATTGTATAACTTCCAGAAAGAGAAGCCCATTATACTGATTTTCCAACTCAGGCTGCATTTTAGCCCTTTGTTTCTTTTTCTTTTTTTAGTATTTATTTATTTATTTATTTATTTATTTTTTTAGTTTAAAGATGCATACAAAGTCAATTTTTTGTTACAAAAACCTACCAAATGCCAGCATTTAGTTTCAAGTAGTATAACTAAGAGAATTACCAAAAGGCGTTGTTTAATTTTACCTGAAAATGATGTTTGAACGGATTTTTCTGCTAGCATTCTATGCTGTATGTCAATGGGGCAGAAAAGTAGGTCACGAAGGTAGGTTAAATTTCCGACCAAAACTTTAAAGAAAGGAGCAGTCTAAAGCTCTTTTATGGTTGCTCGAGTGGTCTGTTCAGAGTGATCGAGTGATCTATCCCTTGGCATGTCGGTATTTTTTGAGTCGTATAAGAAACTAGTAGAAGTGGTTTACATGTGTTACTGGGAATACACGCTCCACCAATGCTCGGTTCGTATGTACAGTACCTTTAAGATCCATAAGTAACATGGTTTTCCCTTAATGGTCATCATGGCGGCGGGGTTTTCTTCAATTTTGATGCAATATTACATAGTGTTTAACAGCATAATGACCATCAATTTTTCATTAAAAAAAAAAGGATCATGGCTATCAAGAAAATGTGCCTTGCAAAGGTCTTCAAGCCCATAGCGGTTCGAAGTAACACCTTGAAAATGCCATTATGTGAAAAATTTAATTTGGCGTCTAGACATGATTCTAGCCAGACGTTTGGGGTGTGGTTTGAGCGTGTTTTAAAACGGCTCCCACTATTCTTTTTTCGTAGAATTTTCATCGGTTCCTCATTCTACATGATAAATTTAGCCAGTCTCTTTTGATATCAGAGGGTGTAGGTGTTTGAGTGCCGATTCTGTTTTGTGGTCACTGGTGAATGGACCTGAACTGAGGCGGCTTCCTCCTGTTTTAGACTTTTTCCCGTTGATGTTTTTTGTCCGGAGACGGGTTGGCCATGGGGTGCACTTTCATTCCCAGGGTGCGTTCTCACTCGGCACTTCTCACCCGACTATTGAGCATCAACACGTCGTTGTCTGAACTCCATAGCTCACAACAGTGACCACATCACACGTAGGTGACTGTCCTCACCACCCCACTTCAATGTGTTGCCATCTGTTAGCACCGCAGCCACAAAAGCGAGATACTTTTACGTTACTTGTTAACGTTTTTCTTCATTGTGATCTGCCGAGCAGATACGCATATACAAAGTCGAGACACCTTTGTCAGGACGAGACCTTGCACAATTAGACACAAACCCACATAGGCGAGACACCTTTGATGAGGAATTCCAACAACACCACCACTTTTTTCCCCTCTCTCCTGGGAAAACCATTGCGTTGAATTCAGCACTGACCACTTACCACCCCTTTTCTCAACCCCCACCCCCATCCCCATCACTAGGACTCTGTAGTTGATTAAGGTCACTTCATCATCATCATCATCATCATCATCATTTAGAGCTTATAGTGTTCCACTGTTGGACAAAGGCCTCAGCATGCTTTTTCCATTGTTTCCTATCCTGAGCTTCAGATTTCCAGTTTGGCCAAGGTTTCTTCTTCCAAGACTTCCAGTAGTCATCTAATTCATCCCTCCATCGTTTGACCGGCCTTCCTCTTTTTCTTTGTCCATACCTTGGGGTCCATTCTGTAAGCCTGATTGTCCACCTATTGTCCTTCATTCTTTTGACATGTCCTGCCCTTTCCAGCAAGGTCACTTGTTGACCGAAAAACGCTTTCTGCAACCAGGGCTCCGTATCTCGAAAGGTTCGCTATGTTGCGCACGTGTGCAAGTGTCTCGATTCCATAACCGATTCTATTTCGAGATACGGGGCCATGGAATCGAGACACTTTAGCACGTAAATGTAAAAAGTACAGGATTTGCACGACCTGTCACAATTATAACTTTGTATTGCAGTGTGAAACGCCTGGGACTAAAGCGACATAGAGCGCATTCAGAAGTTGATCCGCGGACTAACAGAACCACGGATCAAATATAGCCAACCACTCAGGCCCCATTCAGAATAGAGGACTAACTAGTCCGAGGGTCAAATATGGCGACCCACTACAAAGCTTGCCGTTTAATCCGCTAATAGACACTGAATAGGTATCCCGTGGGGAAGTATTCAAGTGGGTCGGCCATATTTGACCCTCGGACTTTTAAATCTCCTATTCTGAATGGGGCCTCAAAAGCATAGCTGATTAATCTCCTGATGGTCCCCCCGTCTCCACACGTGCCGCCCCTGCATACGAAGCCGAGATTTAATCCGTTTAATGGCGCGTGTGGATGCGGGGAGATCATCAGTGGATTAAGCGGCTTGCTTAGTGTGTGGATGAGCTAGTCCTCGGATCATTTGTTCTGAATGCGCTCAGAGGGAAAACCGCATATTCAGTTGCATAGCAGTTGCAAATCAATCGGCGTCCTGTTAGCAACCGGTTCGATGTTACAAATAAGTTTTTCGGTCGCCCGTAGGTTTTCGTTAATGCACCGAAACTAGACACTTACTAAGCGTTCGTTAGGAAACCATTTTGCGAGTTGTAGCAACAGCTCGCAGCCACTTTGTGCAACCGGTGGCAGTTGCAAGTAGCAAAGATGTTTTTGTTCAGTGTGACCGTAAATGCACAAGCCTTGCGAGCTCAAAGAGACCAAGTATTGAAGCAAAACAATGTCAAGGGATACTTGAAGATTAACAAGTACCAAAACACATCCAAATTTATAATTGTTATTATCACAGTGCTTGTTACAAATCGAATTTGATATATATTGTAAAATGAGCAGAATGCGTGATTAAGTACAGACCCAACTTTGAAATATTGCAGCAGCCAACACGTTTCCTGCTCTTTGTGAAGGTACCATTTCACTGAAAGTTGTCTACAACGCTTTTATTGTCTTCTTAGACGGGAATTGATGTGGAGCCTGCTACTGTCATAATTTTGCAACATATATCATCTGTGCGAACTTGTGATTATCAGTGGCCGATCGATCGCAACTACCCTGCAACCGGTTTTCAATATTGGTTTCTTTTTCTTCCACATCTGGTAGTTTTAGGAGGCATTGCAATAGTAAATATGTTAAAAACTTAATGTAATTTGAAGTTGTGCGTTTCCTCATTCTGACCATCCTGACCATACGCTTACAAATCACCGTAGCCACTTACGATGTCATTAAAATCTCAAGAAAAAATCGTATACGATTTTATAGTACGGCGTTCGTGGCTAATGTGTTCTAGGGTTTAGTCTTGCGCTGTATTTCTTTTTTTGGCACATTGCTGGTGGTCTGCTGGTCGTGGTATGCTGATCAATTTCCTGGAGAACCAATACGCTGCACTCCCGTGTCTATATTGTAGGTGTACTGTTTTGTCTTCCAAATACCGCAAGTTTTCAAATGTTTCTTGTGAGCAATATATACATGTATATATGAGACGGGAAATTTATACGAGCGCCTGGGAAAAGCATCGATCATGTCTGCTTTCTTAAGTCTTCCTTTCTACGGATCTGCTAAGGGTGACCTTTTTAGTTTGATTTAGATTTTTAAGGTGGTCAGATTAAATGCTAAGTTTTCTCCTTTGCTATAAATTTTCTAAATTTTGAAGAAATCCAAGGGTGACGTGGTCTAATCGGGAACAAAGTTGGAAGTACCTGAAAAATATGCGCATAGTAAATTATATATTTTTCAAGTGGATATCGACTGTTCACCTTTTTTTACTTATTTGAATTAAAAGTCCAACTTTAAGTTGAGAATAATGATTTAATGATATAAAATCTCTGAAATAATTTTCTCTGCTTACGCTTGAGCTGTGCATCTACTCCTGCAAGCATGCATTCTTACAAATATATCTTTACAAATCTATTTTCTTTAATTTCTTTTTTACTTTTTTTAACAGAACGTTAATAAACAAACGAACAAAGGGTACCTTTAATACTTCAATTTTGTGAATCTCGACGGTTATTTTTGTGTATAGATCCATGAGTTTTGTATCCAGTACTTTGTACATATTGGGATTGAATGCCATTGAGCTGAGACCATCTACATTTTGGACCTCCAACGCACGTTTCATTTCAAAATACCTAAAAGAGAATATTTGGAGTCTTAAATCATGTCTCTGCAGTATGTGCTGAACTCTAGGCTGAGGTATATTTTTACAATGCATTTAAGCGCGTCAGATGTACAGCGTGTGGAAATGAAAATACTCCTTTGTCAAAAACTATATAAAAAACTAATTACACACGTGAAATACTTCTGCGTGCCATCGGCCATCTTCATCTGTCTCAGAGCAACACAGGTGGCGTTATGTCACTAGTAGAAATATTTCACGTGAGTGCTAGTTTTTTTAATAAGTTTGCGACAAGGAAAAAAAATACTGAGAATGATGGGTCTGGATACCCGTTATGGGTACTGAAAGTGATTAAGCCATCATCGTTTTAGTGAAAATGCCTTCTTTACACCAATGTGACACATGATCATAGCTTTAAAGAGAACTACTATATATGTATTTATCTATATCTTAAAAGCGTTATAAACCTTATTGGGTTCGCTTTGTTGCCGGCTTCTGCACCGTGTTTCAGCATGGAGTACCGTGCTACACTGTCGGGTGGCCGGATTACTGTTAAGCCACGGTTGTCCACCCTGAAAAATAAAGAACCATGGACAGTTGGACGGACGGACGGACGGAAGAAACAGATAGAAAAACTGGTGGATATACTGTAGACGGACAAAAGCGTGAGTTATTTAGCAATCAGATAAAGAAGCAAAAATCGTATTGGCTTTAGAGTTTAATCTATTTATAATTGTATAATAAGATTAGTCGCCAAGGCCCGAGTAAGCCCATGACGATCAACAATTGTCACGGAACTTACCGTCGTTTGATATCATCATCTTCTCCGCCCCAACCAAAATACCTGTTTGCAAAACCGTTTATGAATTTGAAGTGATCCTTGCTAAATGCCACAACACCTCCAAACAGGCTGTCGTACGGTATTCTTCAAATAAAAAGGTAAGAAAGAGACATGACAACATGATCCAATTAAAGTTCTTAATTAATCTCAGCATCTAATCAACAGAAGTCTGGTTTTGGAAACATAATCCCTCTGGCTGATTTACCAAAATCAATATAAAATCCTAATAGAATATCTTATCAAATTACTTAATTTTAAAACAGAAAGAACTATCAAACGCTATAAAAGGCCAACAACAGCGTCTGGCATGTACACAAAGATTTCTTACATTTTTTAATTTCTCATTACTATATATCATAAGCTTAAGATCAGATCTGCGCATCTCCTTTTCCGAAATGTACATGTATATCAAAAATATTTTTGTTTCACTGTCAATGTTCAACTTCTCAGTGCCGGCATACAATATATAAATCGGTACAATGAAGACACCCCCTCCCGTTGTTTCTAAACTCAGGTTACATTTATAGCATGCTTTGTGAGTTTCTTTTTTTCAATTATAATAATAATAATAATAATAATAATAATAATAATAATAATAATAATAATAATAAAAGAGGAGGCCTAATATCAAACCCATTTTAGTAATATATCACAAATAATTTCGAGTTGCGCTCTTGAGTAATTGCAATTAACTTTATTTGCATTCTCCAAAACTTAAAAAAAGCCACATGTACCTGTAGTCAAATTTATCTATATTCACGGACATGTGTTTGGGTGTGACGGAGCAGCTATACAGATTATCATCCATCTCGGGAAGAAGGTCCACGTCGTGAAATACAATGCAGGAAAAATTCCCGTGTTTCATCGCTTCTAGAAACCCGATGTTCATCAGCATACCTCGATTGAATGTACAACCTGTAGCCTAGCAGTGGGAATGAGGAAAAGTCAAATATTGTAATGAATAATAATATAACATTTTGTCAAACATTATTATAATTGTAATGAAACGCTAAGCTTGTGGCTAGTAATTTTACGTTGGGGTAGTTAAATCGTGGCTGGAGTCGTTAATTTGTGCATTTGTGCTTCAAAATCTAAGGCTCATGTTAGAAAACGGCAATTATCGTTTAAGAGGCCTGGTAGTAAATAAATAGACCGAAAGAATGTAAAGGTGTCGTGTTTTATACCCTCTGTAACAACAAAATCAAAAGTCAATACTATCGTCGGAGGACTGAAAAGAAAAAGGGACATTTGACTTAAAATGTCAGAAAGAGAAGTAACGATCATAGGACAAAAAGCCGATAACAACCGTATACTATCAGAAACGGAGATGTCAACTAGTCAAATGAGCAGGGAATGAAGGATAAGACTGGGTTCCCACAGATTTAGATCGATCTATCTGGATCGACCTAACTCCCTAGGGGTTCACGCTAAATTGCTGTCAGCTTCCGGGAGCCGAGCGCGCACAAAAGTTCATTACCCCCTTACAGCTTTTAGTAGGCGGGACAGACATTAAAGCCGGTTAAGCTGACAGCAATCTAGTGAGACTCTCCAGGGGGATAGATCGATCTAAATATCTGTGGGAATGGTCTCTAAGAAAATGCAGTTTGGGGATTATAGCAAAGAATCACTCTTTCAATTTTTAGATGACATCATAGTAGCCACACTTTAGACGATCACCTTAGCGATGTAGATGTCAGTTTTACAAATGTTGAGAAATGTGGACTTGACATTATCGAAACGTTTCATATAGCAAAGAAAGGTCAGGTAGTTGGGGTATGTAGTTTCAAAAACCGATATTCGTGTTGACTATGCAAAGTTCAACGCAGTATCAGAATTCCCAGTCCATTCAAATTTTAAAAAGTGCACGAATTTCTGGGAGTAGTGAATTATTGGGCATTGTATTTTTTTTCCATGACAATTTTACAGTTGAACAATATAAAGGTAAAACCATACAAATGCGGACGTGCTTAGCCACCTCCCTTCCGACGAGTAAAATAATGAGATAAGACTAAATAGGTAAGAGATAGGTATAATCAGATACGGCTAAACTTTGGCAGCGGTAGGTAATTGCCATTCAAATTTAGTTCTTAAAGAATTTGATCTAATTACATTTAATTGTTTTTGCCCATTTCTTATTATTTAATGGTGTTACTCAAGTTAAATTACACTGTAAATGTCGTTTTTACGACATCCGAGAGTGGACCCGATGTATCTTTCAATATGCATTATCTGTTCAGTACTAACATGTAAAACTGCTTGCATACTGTTTACACTGTCAATGTTTATAGCATTTAAGCTTAGAATTATAACTGTTATGACTTATTTTTAGTGCTCAGCTGGTTAGGGTATGGCAATGTATTTTGCAAGCCTAATATCTACACACACTGGACAATAGAAGTGTCACCCCTACTGAACCAATACTATGGTAGAGATAAATGACTGTGGAATGATATGCTTCTGGTATCATTTTATTGACATCAAATTTCACAAAAAAATCACAAAATGAGAACAAAATATACATTCTACCAAAATATGCAGTTTCAAGTCCAAAATTAGTACTTAGTGGCATAGCCACGTGACCTAATAATAGGTGCCAGTCTACGAGGCAAGGATTCATATAATTGTCTGATGCGTTCAGGGCTTATGCTGGCCCAAGCATGAAACACTGAATATAAGGGCTTCTCTACGAAAACAGAGTTTCTCTGCTGGTTAGACGGGCATTTATAAAAAGTTTTGACATATCATACCACACATTTTCTATTATATTGGCATCCGGACTCTGGGAGTAAATGTCGTTTTTACGACATCAGGACATTACCCTGCGAATGTCCTGTTGGTCAAACCAATGATCAACTGCTCTGGGCCTGTGACAAGGAGCATTGTAATCCTGGTGAACAAATGGATAATTCCTGTCACCAAACATGTTGGTAATAGATGGTAGCAAGCCTGACTCCAAAACATCGATATATTTCTAGTGATTCATGTTTCCATCAACCACTATTAATTTGCCTACGCCATGGATGCTGATGCAGCCCCACACCATAATAAATATGCTGCTCCGGGTTCGAAAATTCAGTGCATGTGGTTTAAATGCTTTACCAGCAGTTCGCCAGCATCGTACCCGTCTGTCATCAGAGGTCAGACAAATGCGACACTCACCAGAAAAAAATATATAGGACCAATTGTCATGGACTGTCCAGTGCCAGATCCTGTTGACCCTAGTTTACTCTACGTTGCCTGTTTTGTAACGATATAAGAGGTTTCAGTTTTGCTACCTTGCTGTACACTCTCTGAGCATGTAACCGACGCCTAGCAATTTTCACAGACAGATTCTTATGTGTGAAATTGGTCCATTGTGTTGTCAACTGACAAGCAATGTAGAACTTTGACAACCTGGACATCAAAATTAGTCGTCGGTCTTCACGGCCAGTAGTTTTTCTTGGACGACCCATCAGAGGCAATTTGTCTCTTGATCCAGTGTTTCTATACCGAGACCAGACCCTCTGCATAGTTCTGACTGAACAATTCAATTGTATCGATATTCTGACATTGCTTTTATTCCGCCTCTTCAGGTTAATAACTTGCACCTATAACCGTTGGATAATTGCCTGTATCTTGCCATATTGGAGGAAGAAAGGAATAACATTTGCTGTACATGTACAAGACCAACAATACAATTCCATGGTATAGCGGTTTTATACTCATTAGTCACATTATAAGTAGACCAGGCATTATAACTACCCAAGATCTGCCTACTTTTATTACTCTGATTTAGGGGGTGACACTTCTCTTGTCCAGTGTGTGTAAATATTCTCATGTCACTCCTATTTCATGACTGTTCATTAATGGTAATTGCAAGATTATTTTTTCATCACTTAAAGGTGTTTTGAAATAAGATAGCTGAACAAACTAATTTTTTGCTCTACACTCTTGATTATCACCAAATTTGACACATTCCAGCATATCTATCAACTTATTGTCTTATTTAAAGGCAGAATCTCAAGCAGTTAAGAAAGCAAATCAATGGCTCAAGAGAAATTATAAACTGGGATATTCTCTATTGTTCTGCAGTGTGTACACCTGGCTTTACTTTGTCTAAAATGTTTTATCAATGGTTTGTATTTAATTATTGTTTGTCGGTGTAACGCGACAGAGAGTCCCCCATAACAGAGAGTCAGCTTCCCATTTATTTGTGCAAGTAAGCCTCGCTCTAGATTTTGACCTTCTTAGGTCAGACTAACCCTAAGCACTGTAACTATATGAATGGCAGACTTTATGTTACACGGACCCTCAGTTTCGTTACACCGGACCTAAATAAATATATTGCCTGTCATATCAGTGCAGATCTGTCTTTAAATTGCCTGAAGCTTTCAATCAAAGAGAACTGGGCAGATTGGAGCTTATCTATACCTGTTGGAACTGAGAATTGCATAATTGGCTTAGTAAGGGTTTACAATTTTCCATATCCCGAGAATGAGTTTTTTCCTGTATCTTATTATTCAGTAATGCATCTACCCTTGTGCTGATAAAAACAATAAAAATCCCCTCGGTAATATAAAATATCGACGTTTATATTTTCGTTGCTAAGCATTAGCATAGGCACCTCAAAGCTTTTATATTCCAATTCACTGATGCTTAAACGTATATAAATTATTTGTCGTCTAATAACTCTCAACGACTAAAACCATTTCATCTTCAAACATAAAAATCATTTATTTATAAATTGCGAGGAATCGATGTGTCTCTGCCTGTGTACAGACAGTACAATATCACATAAAAAGCCTTTGCTCCATCACCAGTCATTAGAGTGAGATCTACCGCATAACCCAATTCCAATTCAATTCCAATCCTGGTACAGTTCTTACTTATATAAATCTGACAATTTTACAACATAAGACAACCAATATCTTCATACAATTGTCTTTATACAAAACAACTTTATAAGGAATAAAGTGGAGAACCAGTGTCAGTTCAGCAGTGCTGATCGACCTCGAATTATCGTTTCTCCTTCTCACGTGATTTGTTCACCGTTTGAATACAGCGGCCCCTGCATAACTCCCAAACAACCTTCCTCCTAAGACACGTCATCGTTGACCCGTTAAATGACAATAAACACATTTATCGTCACTTTTTTATTTTGAGGTGAAAGAGCAATCGGTATGGGGCAAACCAACATCTCTGAACAAGATATTATCACGAAAATTGGCATAGGTGACGGCATGTGTATGGGCTTTACTCTCGTGCTGTCATCTTGGTTTAAATGATTAAATGATAATTGAGCAAAGGCTTTGTTTTGCTTTCTTAACGATAAAACCTGAAGTGAGGCTTTTAAGAAAAATCGACGGCAGGGTTTTAAAGTACTCAACGAAGCCATTAAAATGGTGTTGACACGTTGTTCCTGGGAGTTCAGATAAAGGAGAAATTTGAGAAACCGATTTTATTATTTTAACCCCAAAACCGTAATTATTACGCCATCGGTAAAATGACATTTCTGTAAATGCTGAGCAATTTAGCCAGTGATCACTGAATATTTATCTATTATCCCAAAATTGTGTGTAAGGCAGTAAGTACTTTTTTGCTAACCCAGACAGTACCCTTTAGCTAGTCTAATCTACATGCACCTGTCAGTTTTTTGATCACCTGTGGAATTTCATGCCTGCTTGATATTAAACCATCTAAAATACTCGTCACAATATTAAAAAAATTAAATCATTGCACAACGACCGTTTGGTTTAGTTGTTAGGTGCAATCTTCTTCCTGGTTAGGTCCTTTAAGGCCTCTTAAGCAACGTCACAATGTTGCAGCATATACTACATTTATGTTGCCTTGAGCAAATCTACTTCACTTATAAATATTGATAAAACAGTTTGTTCTTTCTGGCTAGCTCAAGCAGTGGATGGAGACTTCATCATATTGTCTGATTTTTCAATTTTAATTTTGTTGCCAATTATTGTATTAATATCTATCAATTACTAATACTAAATGTCGAACTAAATTCAGGTGCATGGAATGTTATCCTTATCGCTTAGAAGTAATTTCCACCTTGTGCAAATTTTCATGGCATGCAGTGCCACAGGGATTGTTGTTGATCATTTTTATGGCACCAGTAAATAAGAATAATCTCCACGGCCTACTTACAAAATGAAAAGGTGATATCTTTACGACACACTTAAATGTAAAGTTGGTGGGTGCACTTGACTGTGCTGGAAAATATATCATGTCTGGTAGTTGTGGTGCACAAGAGACCAGATATATGTATATGTACAGTATGAGCTTGAAACGCTAATGATATGTTTAACATTTGTCTCGATTTATTAACCTCAATGCTAACTGATATAAATCAGACTATATATGTATTTACTACGACATTTTAGTTTCAAATTAAAATATTCCTCTGGCTTTTGAAGATTTATCACTTTTATCACAAGATATTTTGATGAAATAGAATATAACAACCATGAAAAATATGACTTAAAAACCTTTTCAAACGTATAGTAATATTTTAAATACAATATATTTCACCCAGTAGAGGACATAGATATGATAGCATAAAATATGAATTTGCTCATACGAATTATACAACAAAGCATTTTAAAATATGATTATAGAAACATTTCCACAATTTGACCCAAACTCAGCAAGCTTTATAGATTCTTAGTTTATGCAGGACAACTTACCTGTTCTACTATAAAAATCCTATACTCTAGTTTCTGTCTGAACAGTATTGTGTGGATATATTTTAGAAATATTTCCAGATGCTCCAATCGGTCTCTGTATGGCACAACAATGGCCACCGTGTGTCGTGGCTCACAATCAGTGGGTCTCCAAAATCCTCCGGGTCGTACTTCAGGGAATGTTTTTAAAAGTGACAAAGGTTCTATCTTCCCCTCTGCAAAATAAGATTGTAGTCTAAGAAAATAGGGAAAAATAGGCTGAAACTCATTGTCATGTGCAATTTTTGCATGTTTGCAATTTGATATGACCAAATCTAATGGTGGTTTGGTGTTTTATGGTAAGTACTGCAATTAGAACGATGTGTTAGAGTCTTCAAAGGGCCTTGTTTATACCAGAAAGTAGATCGCAAGTAACGACTACTAGCTGTTAATCGCACCACGATCGTTGCACAATGGTGTATCTTTTTTCAATATTGTGACGAGTTTGAAGATGTTTTAATATCACGCTGACATAAAACTCCAAAAATATGGTCATACTATTCAAGGACAAACTTTGGTTTTGTCTGTAAAGCATGGTCTAACAACTTACCCCGGGGTCCAACTACCCCCGGTCTCCCCTAGCCTTCGATGGTTGTAGTGTGAATGTGGTATTAAGTAAAGATAAGAATTTCTTTGATGGTTTAATTTTTTCCCTTTGTCAAGAAAATCCACTACTGCTGTGATGATATGCACCTTTCAATCAGAATTTATGTAAATATTTTAAATTATTAATAATACCAGTAGGACTAACGAATATTTAGCAAAATATGAAATTCAGAAAAAGATTTAACCAGATGGCCACACTTACCTCATAGCACACTTCCCCGTCATTATTTAATGGTCATTAGTATATATATATATATATGTTAATATATTCTAATAAATTGCATTTTTTAGATTGCAACTACTCTAGCCAACAGTCACTCCTGCAATAAACATCCTAGGCTTGTTACCTNTAGTCAAGCCATCAGTAAGGTACCGGTAACATTAAGTAGGTTAATGGGCAACAATAGCATGTTCTCATTTCTCGTCAGCTCGTCTCATTAAATTGAAAGTTAGGTCAACTCTCCATGTCAACCATTAGTTTCAGCAAACTGACAATGACATAAAATGAATAAAAGTATGCCACAACATAAAATGAACTTTTAGACTGCAAGCAACCCTTGGCATACATAAAACAACGCTCATTATACAAAGCAAGAGAGTGATTAAACTACTAAGGGGCACGCGTCATGTTTTTGCTCTACAAAGAATTTCATGAAGTTATTAGTCAAATTTTATATTTTAACGTGAGCGATATGAATGGAGTATACAACTAAGTAATTACAATTCAAAACAGGCTTGAGAGAAAGTCTAGGACGATGCAAAAGTATAATGGGAAGGTAGAGGTTGCTGAAATGGGGGATGGGCTCTTACCTAAAGCATGTGGAAAAGCATCACACAGGTCTATGATGTTACTTCCTGCTCTGTTGGAAGATACTGACTTGGCTTCAAGGTTAGCATACTCCAATTCCGTTAATTTCCTAACAACATGTTGTACGTAATTATCAGTAGGACGATCATCCGTCTTAAGCAAAACCGACATCGACAGCTGTAACACCAATAACAGCACCAATATTAAGGCACCGAATACAGGGTACCAGGAAGTCAAACTTCCCTTACAAGTAGATCTACATAGAATCCTTGGGTAAATTGACCAGCTCACAAACATTTTATAGGTGCATCTTTCTGCCATTGCGTGTTGACACCAGGAAACCCGTCATCTAGACATTGATGTCCTTGAGAGCCGACTGAAGTCACGTGTCCCCGCCTCTCCCCCTCTCTGTCTGTAACTCTCCCCGTACCTTTGTACCTTTCTGTATTTGTAGCTTTAATTAGTATTAAATGTTTGTATATTTAATGTCAAAGTTATAAAGTCAATAAACTACGCCAAACTTTTAATGAGCGACTGTGTAACGAGGACGTCAGACGTCAGGGTACAGCAGTTTACGTTGAGGTACAATGGAGAAGCAAGGGTCGCGTACGGTTTTTGTTTTGACTTCATCGAGAACGATCTGACTGGTGACCCAGGGCAAATTTTCACGTACATGTAACATGTTTTAGATGAATATTCTAGAAATCACAGCTGAATATTCTAGAAATCACAGCTGAGACGTCAGTTGGCAGGTAGGGAGGGTTGAAATCCACCGGTAACCCGAGTGAATTAGAAGAAATAAAAGATACATGTACAGTGTGTAAGATACTTATACCCCTTTCACACTGCTACCTGAAGAGAATCCGAATTTTTCAAATTCGAACTTTTGGTGAAAATCCGATTACCTTGCTTGTTCAAACAAGCAAAGCGAAACCGAATCCTACGTTGAAATATTCCAGNTTTTTTGCTCTACAAAGAATTTCATGAAGTTATTAGTCAAATTTTATATTTTAACGTGAGCGATATGAATGGAATATACAACTAAGTAATTACAATTCAAAACAGGCTTGAGAGAAAGTCTAGGACGATGCAAAAGTATAATGGGAAGGCCAGAGGTAGCTTAAATGGGGGATGGGCTCTTACCTAAACCATGTGGAAAAGCATCACACAGGTCTATGATGTTACTTCCTGCTCTGTTGGAAGATACTGACTTGGCTTCAAGGTTAGCATACTCCAATTCCGTTAATTTCCTAACAACATGTTGTACGTAATTATCAGTAGGACGATCATCCGTCTTAAGCAAAACCGACATCGACAGCTGTAACACCAATAACAGCAACAATATTAAAGCACCGAATACAGGGTACCAGGAAGTCAAACTTCCCTTACAAGTAGATCTACATAGAATCCTTGGGTAAATTGACCAGCTCACAAACATTTTATAGGTGCATCTCTCTGCCATTGCGTGTTGACACCAGGAAACCCGTCATCTAGACATTGATGTCCTTGAGAGCCGACTGAAGTCACGTGTCCCCGCCTCTCCCCCTCTCTCTCTGTAACTCTCCCCTCTCTCTTTCATTTTTAAATTATATATATATATATATATATATATATATATAACTTGTACCTTTCTGTAGTTGTAGCTTTAATTAGTATTAAATGTTTGTATATTTAATGTCAAAGTTATAAAGTCAATAAACTACGCCAAACTTTTAATGAGCGACTGTGTAACGAGGACGTCAGACGTCAGGGTACAGCAGTTTACGTTGAGGTACAATGGAGAAGCAAGGGTCGCGTACGGTTTTTGTTTTGACTTCATCGAGAACGATCTGACTGGTGACCCAGGGCAAATTTTCACGTACATGTAACATGTTTTAGATGAATATTCTAGAAATCACAGCTGAATATTCTAGAAATCACAGCTGAGACGTCAGTTGGCAGGTAGGGAGGGTTGAAATCCACCGGTAACCCGAGTGAATTAGAAGAAATAAAAGATACATGTACAGTGTGTAGGATACTTATACCCCTTTCACACTGCTACCTGAAGAGAATCCGAATTTTTCAAATTCGAACTTTTGGTGAAAATCCGATTACCTTGCTTGTTCAAACAAGCAAAGCGAAACCGAATCCTACGTTGAAATATTCCAGGTTAACTTCCTGTTTTGAACACTCACGCATGCGCCGCCCTGGAAAATTCAAAATAAAAAAACATAGAATATGGCGCCATTTACGGCTTTAATCGTACTCAGCTTTTGCCTTATTTTTTATTTGTAACAGCAAATTTATTTAAGCATTCTCAGAACGTATCAGATGGCAAAATAATTTACGTTTATCAATGTTGTAGTGAGCGGTGACCTCCAAATACGTTTCGTGCAATCGCTTTTAAGTGTTAAACAAGTGTTCATGGATACCCACACTTTTTCTGCGCACTTGCGCAGTAAGATCTAAACAGGTGTCGGTTCCGGTAAGTTATTCGAAGCGCTGAAGAAAGTCCAGCACGCTAGAAGGATTTTGGGAGACCCAGTGGCAGATCTAAGGAGAGGGGGGAGCAGGAGGCGGTGGGTTATACAATGAAACTATAGCCGTTTTTATTTGATTTATCGTAGTTTCTATCCCCAGTATTTCAGCATTAAGGTTGCTGGTATTGATAGCTTGGAACTTTACATCTTTCTTAACGAGTATAGCCACTCCGCCCGCCTCCATGCGCATCTCTGTCCCTGCGCAACACCTGATAGCCGCTCACAGATAATTTTGTCTTCTCACTCAACTTTGTCTCGTTTATGCATACGATGTCAGGTTTATGCTCTACCAGATATTCAACTAAGAGTTGTTTCTTGGTTTTAAGACTGTTTATGTTGATATGCATCAGGTGTGCCGCCATTTTTAGCTAGTGTGATGGGTCCTTGTGTTTGATTTGATTTTTTCACTTAAAGGCAACATGGTGGATAGTTTCGCCATCAATATTAACTTTGTATCTTTGCATATGTCACTTTCATTTGTTTGTATTTTTAGGCGTTTTGATGTTATTTTGATAAGTATTTTCGCTAGACATATTGCCAGTTTTATTGATTCGCTCACATTTCCCTTCTTTGCGTTGTCTATTGCAGTGCGCTTCTGTTCTGAGTTAATTTCTTTTTTGTATATCTTGCATCCTTTGAAAGATGCAGGGTGTTCTTCCTTGCAATTGGCGCAACTGCGGCCGCTATCCGAGTATTTTTTGTGACTGTGCGCCCCTCCACAGTTCTTCCAAGTCTCGGGTGACTCGCATTGTTCGGCTACGCAAGGAGTTATTTTTTTCACAGGTAATTATTTGGACGATGTGCTGGAAAGGAACGATATCATAGAAAGCGATTATAAGGTGGTGACTGAGGATGGTGGCCTGAGTTTTTTTTGAGTCGGTGATAGATGGCTTTTTTATGGCACAACCCAGTGAAAAATCACCAAGGAGAAGTAAAAAAAAAACGTCCCAACTGTGGTTTGTGAAAATGACATTCAAGTGAACGTCTGTCCTCACTGCCAAAGGACATAATACATAAATGTTTGGACCCTCCTGTCCTTGGGTCCCATAAACATATACATTGTGACAGTGCCTAAGCTTTGTGTCTGGTTTTAAATTTCTTAAAGTATTTTTTCTCTCACTCGGTATAATTTTAATATTATAATGCATTAAAGTAAAATTTTAATCAAAGGTTGAGGCAATGCCACGACGTCAGTTTACTGAATACTCGTTATAAATTTCTTTATCTTGGAAATATCCTTTTTTCAGGATTATTTTGACACGTACTAACACTGTTCATATTTGTCGGTAAACAAGTGCACAGTGCTAAACATTAAGAATAATTTTTATTCATTCATAAATATATTTACGTACAAAATACATCAGAAATTTTAGTATTTACTGAGCTCTTTAAAGTGAAACAAATAAAGATGAGAATATAGAATTTCAAACTATTATTTACTATATTAACTTAAAATATCTTTTAAGTCAACTCTATACTCAAGCATCATGATAGTAGCATCTGTGAGTAAAACCATTTTATTATATCAATAGAAGAACAAAACCAAAAACAAAATTTTACACATAAGCAGTAATTAATGAAGTCATTAGAATGATTAAGTTGCTACAGTTTTCCAGTTTTATGCAGTCTATGTTGGCATTTTTTTCAACCGTGCAAATAGAAATAATTATATTCTTTTTTTATCTGACTTGCTGATACCAGTCTGTGCCAGATACTATTCCACTCACAGGCCAGCAAGGTCTGAGAATCTAATGGGCCGAATGAAAAAAAAATCCTAAATTTTCGATTGCTTCCTTTAACGAGCCAGTGTTGGAGAAAACTATTCCCAAATAGGGGTATTGTTTTACTTCTTCTATGGGTTCATCATTAATGTGAAATTTTGTTTGATGGTCAAGTTTACCCTTCTTGCTAAACACCATTATTTTTGTTTTCTTTGTATTTATGTGTAACTTCCACTTTTGACAGTACTGTTCTAGTTTGTTCAGAAGATTTTGCAGTCCGTCCTTTGTTCTCGACAGTAGGACTAGGTCATCGGCATAAAGTATGTGGTTGATTGTGGTTTTACATGTATGGAAGGATTCTATTATGTCGTCTATAAATATATTGAAGAGTGTTGGACTTAGATTATCACCTTGGTGGATTCCAATTTTAGCAAAAAAGGGTTTGGTATAACTGTTGCCTGTGGAGATTCCTAATTTAGTATTTTTGTACATTTGTTTAATCACATTGTAAAATTTTCCTCCTATTCCAAGTTTCTGTAATTTGAGAAGCAGACCTTTGTGCCACGCTGAATCAAATGCCTTTTTAAAATCAATAAAGCATGCATAGACCTTCCTATTTTGGCTTTAAGTTTTATTTAATTTTTTATTTATTTTATTTAAGTTGCTTGTACTTTTTGCAAGCTTGATGATAAGTGTGAGAGATAAAGTGATTATTCGGGTTTTTGTGGAGTAGTCTCCCGAGGTGTTTGATATTTCTTTTTACTTCAATGCATTGATTGTCAAACCAGGGCTGCTTTTTATTCCTTTTTCTCTCATTACCATTTTTCTTTGACATTCTTTTTGTACGCAGTGATGCACTAGCTGTGTCATATAGGATTTTAGTTAAAGACTGACATGCCTTATTTACTCCCTCTTTAGTAGTTGGGAAGGTGGTAGTTTGAAATTCACATATGGCTTCTATGTTTTTTTCACTTTCCAGTTCACGGAGGAATTTATCTGCAGAGTCGATGCCCCAGATGTACTGATCTTTGTATTTTTAGAGGGGAATAACTTTTGGTGACTCCTTGAAACCCTTACTTGCAATTGTAAGATCTAGAAGACAGTGATCTGAGATATAGTCAATTGGGTGAACAGTGAAATACTTTACACTATCAACTAACTTATCACTCAAAACTGCATAATCCACTGCACTACAGCCATTTTGATTGTAACATGTGTAGTACCCTAATGAATTTCCTAACACTCTTCCATTCAGTATTCTCAAATTGCTGCTAATGCATAATTCTACAAGGGTTCTTCCCTGGGAGTTTATGATACTGTCTAAGTTGTTCCGAGCAGGAGTGAGCATATCTGTGGGGTGGCTACCAGGCACTGGGATACCGTGTGTGTTATCATTTTTGATATAATCTGGGAGTGTACCAGTTCGAGCATTAAAATCACCCATGCCATTTGACTGATGCTGAGCTATTTCTTCCTCAAGGATGTCAAAGGTTGCTTCATCAAATCTCCCATTCTTTGGCTTAACATAAACTGCGCACACAAATAAGTCTCTTTGGAGACCAAAACACTGTCCTGGTAGCCTTATCCATAAGGTATTTTCACTTTTGCTAGAGATAACATGAAGAGCACCACTAAATTGTTTTCTGTAATATATAACTATACCGCCAGATGGGCGACCTTTTGTTTTCTTTTTTGTTTTTATTTTGCAGAAGTGGCCATGTGAGCCACTAGGTAGGACCATTTTTGATCTCAGGGTACTAAAAGTTTCTACACATATGAAAATATCAAAATTTTCTACCATCTCAACAAAGTTTTCATCAGTAAGTTTCTTTGCTAATCCTCTAATATTTCTCATACCGATGCGTAACATGTTTCTATGTAATTATTGATATCTCTTTAAAAACATACAAAAAGACCTATCCACACTACTTCAATTAGACGTTAAGTGGAAAAAACGTTTTAGCTTTTTGTCTTCAAACTTAAGGAACTGATGAATATTCATAAAATACGGGTCGAGTTCGAGTTTTCAGCATAAATGCAACACTGATAATACATTTTATGGAAAACCGATAGGCCTATTGTCTTTCAAGAAACTCACAGGAATGCTCTATCGCAGGGGCGGATTTAGGCCGTCTTCTGGGTCTTCCGGAAGACGGTCAGATTTTAAAGTTTACATTGACGGGTATCTAATATTTTCTGTCGGAAGACGGTCAAAAATGGAGGATGGATTAACAAAAATAATTTGGAAGACTGTCAGAAAATATCTCTGGATCCGCCCCTGC